AAGTCAAACTATAGATGCATATTATGACACGATTGAGGTGCTGGAAGTTTGTATCGGTCGAGGAAGCCCACAGCAGAAAGTTAAGAAAACGAAAAGCTGAATTTTCCCAAGTCTGTTCCATTTTCAAATATGAAAATTTTACTGACCAAATTGACCAGATTAGATGACATTTTGGCCACAAAACCATAGTCAGTTATTTATGATGGTATGAACCAAATCTGGGGTACTGGAAGTCAAAAAATCTAAATAAAAATTGTAAAATCCTATATCAAATCTCTGTCCATTTTCAGTTTTTGAAGATGGAAATTTCCAGGACCGTCTGAGAGTACGCGCGCGCTACAGTTTTACACCGCGCTCAATTTACCAGATGATGTAGCATGTGACTCTCTGTTACTGAGGTGTAAGTCAATATAGTGCATATTATGACACGTCTTGCTCGGTGCACGGGAAGTCTCAGGTGTATGTGTCTGTGTGTGAGCGCTCCAGCCCCACTACCCTCCCGCCCGCGAATCGCATCGCTCAGACAACGTAAAATGTGTATTTCCATAAGTCTGTCCACCAACTTTTCCTATTCTACTATTCGAGACTCTTTTTTCTGCAACACAAATTGAAGATTAGATGACATTTTTGGCCACAAACAATTAGTCAGTTATGTTGATGGTATGAAACAAAAGTGGGGTACTGGAGTCAAAATCCGAAATTTTTTTTATTTTAAAAAAAAAAAAAAATAAATTGTAAATCATATATTCCCAAACCTCTTGTCCCTTTATCAGTTTTGAAGATGAAATTTCCAGGACCCGAAAATTTTACAGTTTTTACTGAATTTCTCACCGCAAACCAACTTAGTTAAGTCAACTATAGTTGGCATAGACACGATTGAGGTTGCTTGAAGGTTGATATCGGTCGAAGGAAGCCCACAGCAGAAAGCTTAGAAACAAAAAGCTGTATTTTCAAATTCTGTCCCATTTTCAAATATTGAAATTTTCTAACTAAATTGACAGATTGATGACATTTGCCACAACCAATTAGGTCAGTTAATTGATGATGGTATGAAACCAAATTGGGGTACGGAAGTCCAAAATCCTAAATAAAATTGTAAAATCTTATATTCAATCTCTGTCCATTTTCAGTTTTGAAAGATTGTGAAATTTCCAGGACCGAAATTTTACTGTTTTACTGAAGTTTCTCACCCGCAACCAATAGTATGTCAATTTTAGATGGCATTTTTAATTTTTAGTATGACACGATTGCGGTGCTGGAGTTTGATATCGGTCGGAGGAAGCACAAAGCAGAAAGAAAGCTAGAAAAACGAAAGCTGTATTTTCAAAAAGTCGTCCACTTTTTCATTATGAAATTTTCTGAAACAAATTTGACGATTAGATGACATTTTTGGCCACATCCAAATAGTCAGTGAATTGATGATGTATGAACCAAATTGGGGTACTGGAAGTTCAAATCCCGAATTAAATTGTAAAATTCATTTATTCCGAACCTTGTCCATTTTCAGTTTTTGAAGACTAAATTTCCAGGGGAAACCGAAATTTTACATTTTTGACTGAATTTTCTCACCCGCAACCAATTTGTAAGTCAACTATAGGATGGATATTTGACACGATTGAGGTGCAGGAAGTTTGATATCGGTCGGAAGAAGCCACAGCAGAAAGTTTAAGAAACGAAAGCTGTATTTTAAAGTCTTCTGTCCCTTTTTCAATATGAAATTTTCTGAACACAAATTTGACCGATTAGATGACCATTTTTGGCACAACCAATTAGTCAGTTAGATTGATGATGGTATGAAACCAAATTGGGGTACTGGAAGTCAATATCCCGAATAAAATTGTAAAATCAATATATTCCATATCTCTGTCCCATTTTCAGTTTTTGGAAGATGAAATTTCCAGGACCGAATTTTACAGTTTTTACTGAATTTCTTCACCCGCAACAACTAGTAATAAAATATAGTTGGCATATGACACGATTGAGGTGCTGGAAGTTTGATATCGGTCGAAGGAAGCCAAAGCAGAAAGTTAAGAAAACGAAAAGCTGTATTTGCAAAAGTCGTCCCATTTTCAAATATGAAATTTTCTGAAACTCAATTTGACAATTAGTGGAACATTTTTGCCACAAAACCAAATATTCAGTTAAATGATGTGGTATGAAACAAATTGGGGTTCTGGAAGTCAAAATCTAAATAAAATTGTAAAAATCATATTTCCAAATCTCTGTCCATTTTCAGTTTTTTCTGATGATGAAATTTCCAGGACGAAATTTTAAGTTTTTTACTGAATTCTCACCCGCAACCAATTGAGATAAGTCAACTATGATGGCATATTATGACACGATTGAGGTGCTGGAGTTGATATCGGTCGGAAAGAAGCCCACAGCAGAAAGCTTAAGAAAACGAAAAGCTGTATTTTCAAAAGGGTCTGTCCCATTTTCATATATTCGAAATTTTCTGAAAACAAATTTGACAGATTAGATGAATTTTGGCCACAAACCAAGTAGTCAGTTTTAATTTGTGATGGTATGAAACCAAATTGGGCGGTATGGAAGTCAAAATCCGAATAAAATTGTAAAATCATATATTCCAAACCTCTGTCCCATTTTCAGGTTTTTTGATGATGAAAATTTTCGGGACCGAAATTTTACAGTTTTTATGAATTTCCTCACCCGCAAACAACTAGTAAGTCAACCTATAGATGGCATTATGACCGATTGTAGGGGCTGGAAGTTGATATCAGTCGAAGGATGCCCACAGCAGAAAGAAAGCTTAAGAAAACAAATGCTGATTTTCAAAAGTTCTGTCCCATTTTCAAATATGAATTTTCTGAACTCAAATTTGGGGACAGATTAGAATGACATTTTGCCCACAAACCAATTAGTCAGTTAATTGATGATGGTATGGAAACCCAAATTGGGGTACTGGAAGTCAAAATACGAATAAATTGTTAAATAAAATCATATATTTCCTACCTCTGTTCCCATTTTCAGTTTTTGAAGATGGAATTTAGGACCGTAATTTTACAGTTTTTACTGAATTTCTCAACCCGGCAACCAATTAGTAAGTAACTATAGATTGGGCATAAGATGACACGATTGAGGTGCTGGAAGTTTGATATCGGTCGGAGAAGCCAACAGCAGAAAGCTTAAGAAAACGAAAAAGCTGTCTTTTCAAAATTTCTGTCCCATTTTCAAATATGAAAATTTTTGACACAAATTTGACAGATTAGATGACATTTTTGGCCAAAACCAATTAGTCGTTAATTGGAGATGGTATGAAAAACAAATTGGTGGTACTGGAAGTCAAAAATCCCGATAAAATTGTAAAATCATATATTCCAAATCTCTGTTCCATTTTCAGTTTTTGAGATGAATTTCCAGGACCGAAATTTTACAGTTTTACTGAATTTCTCACCCGACCCAACTAGTAAGTCACTATAGATGGCATATGACACGATTGAGTGCTGGATGTTTGATATCGGTCGAAGGATGCCCACAGCCAGAAGCTTAAGAAAACGAAAAGCTGTTGTATTTTCAAAAGTCTGTCCCATTTTCAAATATGAAATTTTCTGAACTTCAAATTTGGACCAGATTAGATGACCATTTTTGCCACAACCAAATTAAGTAATCAGTTAATTGATGATGTCTGAAAACCAAATTGGGGTACTGGAAGAATCCCGAATAAATTGTAAAATCATATATTCCAAATCTCTGTCCCATTTTCAGTTTTTAAAGATGAAATTTCAGGACCGAAATTTTACAGTTTTTACTGAATTTCTCACCTGCAACTAATTAGTAAGTCAACTATAGATGGCATATGACACGATTGAGGTGCTGGAAGATTGATATCGGTCGGAGGAAGCCCACAGCAGAAAGCTTAAGAAAACGAAAAGCTGTATTTTCAAAAGTCTGTCCCATTTTCAAATATGAAATTTTCTGAACACAAATTTGACAGATTAGATGACATTTTTGCCCACAAACCAATAAGTCAGTTAATTGATGATGGTATGAAACCAAATTGGGGTACTGGAAGTCAAAATCCCGAATAAAATTGTAAAATCATATATTCCAAATCTCTGTCCCATTTTCAGTTTTTGAAGTTGAAATTTGCCGCAATTACGTTGTAAGGTTGGCTGTTTTATTCCGTCGTATATACCAAAATCTTGTTAGTACCTTAGCAACAGTAGTCAACACATCTTTCGCAGAGGGGATTTTCCCTAAAGCTTTGAAAACGGCAAAAGTTACACCTATACACAAAGGGGGTTATAAACTTGATGTAGCGAATTATAGACTTATCTCACTCTTGGGCTTGTTATGTGTTATGAAAAACTTATGCTTCATAAACTTAACAACAGTGCATTATTAGGAATTTCTTCAAGTGCCTGCATTTTGAGATTAGCTCGGTCCTGCTGTTGATGGACTTCGGGTTTTTGATGATGATGAGCTTTTCTGTCAGGCACAAGTTGCACGTTTTCACAATTTTTTATCTCGTTAACAAAATTGATTGGGTAATCAATGGTTATCCAATCACTAATCATGTGACAGCTTGTTACAACACCGTAATTGGGCTCTCTCAACGATTCCCATAATGCGGGAAAATGTAATTTGAATGGCCAAACACAATCCAATACAATTTAGCTCCATCCAATTATTCAATTCCTCGAATGAGCGATAATAGCAAGTCATATCAGAAAAAAAAACTCAATCAGGAACTCATTGACTGAGCTATAAAGGCCTGACTTTTGGCCCCAATGGCGACAAAGAATGTTTAGGCTGGAAAATCTCAAGCTTGTTATGGCAGGCACAAATAAACAGGATTTAACTGTACTATGTGATTGGAGAAACCAGTAACATCGGACATCCATGTCCATTGTCCAGAGCACACGTGCTGTATATACTTGATATTTTGATAAATTTATATGAGGTCCTGTTTATACTAGCACTGTTCTTTTTTATACTAAAGATATATTATGAGGTTTAAGAATCATTAAAACCACAAATGATTTTGGTTTGAAATTATAAGGGGATTGAAATCAAAATACAATTGACCTATGTAGAACATGAAATAAATAGCACGTCTCGCTTACTATCTAGGCTAAATGTACTGATCGCACTACGCACACAATTCTTTTGTTTTCACTCAATCAAAAACGATGCAACAAGTTGGAAATAAACTTAACATTTTGAAATAAAAGAAGAGTTTAACGATGCCAAAGTCCGTCGTAAGCTGAGCGAAAAGAGAATAGTAATAAATAATTTAGGTATGGATTTGTGAGCATTAAACTAGCTAGAGCTATACGTCAATCATTTTAGGATCTAATAGATAATATTATAATCAATAGATTTGCTATGGAACTTAACGAATTATGCTTTTACGAATTAGCTAAAGTCGTTAAACAAAGAGTTTATCGTTTATTGAACAGCGCATTCAAAAACGTAGAAGTATATCAATGAAAAAATATGAAGTTGCACCAAATATAAAAAATTATAATAACTCGACGTTATCGAAAAACTTTAGAACATAGAAGATAGAAGATGAATATTGAAAATATGTCATTATATAGCATTTGAAAAACATGCAACAAATAAGTTAGTTTAAAGTTATTTCATGCCACAAAATCACACGACAGGATCATGTAACTTTGACTAATTATTAATTAAATTCCTAACATTAAGAATTTAGTCCCTACAGCTACAATTTTAACTTTCTCTTTACAATTTCGTTGTCCCGATCGATACTTAATGTTAAAGATTCGAATTAAAATTGAAGTATCATTTTAAAGATTTATCTGTTTGTTTGTGACTTTGTTAATCAAACCAAGTCACCACAATCATTTTTCAGTTGATTAGCAAGTTTAAAAGTTCCCTAGATAAAAAGATGTTCGTGGCCAGCACGATTCGCCTAAACTTAATGAAGTCCAGTCGCTGGATTTCCGGAACACGAAGGTTGTGCAGTCAAGTGGAGTGGAGTAGAGTGCTGAGCGTTGCAGTGATGAAATGATGACGTCACGTTTCACCGTCCGACACGGCCTCTTGAATCTCGCTGGGCACCAGGAGTAATTCACAACATTTCACCTTGTGCTCCGTGCTGTTGTCTATGGGGTTATGTCGCATCCTGAAATTAAAACACTCGTCAGAGAAGAGATAATTTTAATTGTGAGTTCTGTAAAACAAGGGGATATGGATCATAGAGATCAGTCGATAACCATACACTTAATTCATATCAACGAGTTCAATACGCTGTGAGTAACACGAAATGAAGGAACATCTTCAAACTACTACTAAATTTCTTGTTGTACACCCGTTTATGTGAAATGTTCAATTTGGTTTTGTCTCCTGTAGAAATCGGGTAAATGTCAAGTAGGTCAAACAATTAAAGTCACAGCTAAGTGGTTTGCAATAAAACTACTTTACTACTTTGAGTACATAAAATAATAAAATAACTGTAAGCATATAGATATCATACCAGTCAGTTTGAAGTCTGTACAATCTGTCCAAAGTAAGCTTATTTATTTGTGTTCGGCCGTCAGTAAAAAATGATCGGGTCAAGAATCAAGAATGTCACCTGATTTGAAAACAGTTGGACTTCTTTGACAGGCGTGTAGTCAAAAGTCGAAGTTCCGGCTAAATGAACTGCAGTAATTGTCACTGGCAGGCTTAAACAACAAGTCACCTGCCAACTGAACAGTTCACATGGTTCATAACCAGCGCGCGGGCTTTTTAAACGGCGCGCGCATTGATTTGCGCATGAAAAGACGTAACAGTATTACCGCGTATTCCAGCGAGTTGCTTAATCAAACCTACAGTTGCAGATCTGTAAGTTAGTCAGTAAAAGTTGGGAACGCTCCAAGAATATACCAATAATTCGGTCAATCTCAATTATCAATCAGTCGTACAAAAACCACAAAGGCAGTAAATAGGTAGCCTAACTAGTTCCTTCAAAGTTCTGTCGGTAAAATTATCATACAGCTCCAAGAAAAGCAATTCTAATCTGATTATAAAGTGACAAAACTTGACAAAAACAATAAGATTTAATCGCATTAATTTTGCCCTTAATTCTTAACCCTGTCACAGTCTTTTTTCTCGTTGATCTTATCGATAAGAGCTTCAATGATCCCGTCACTTTGATCGAGAGCAATCAGCTCGCAACATCTTATTCGATACTCCAATTTACCGTCAAGGAAGTCAAGTCTGTATCTGTAGGTTTGGTAATTGTTACTTTTGTAACAGTTATTGTACGTCAATTTCTGTACAGCGGGGTGAAGCGGAAAGTGCTTATCTCGACTTCTAGCACGTTCATTTTCTCTATAGCGAGACAGCGAATAAAAAGAAAAATATTGCAGGAATTCACTGTAATCATGTAATACGTTTTAACTTTAGGTATTCTACGGTAATTACATTTCTTTAGCTTTGAAAATATTTCACATAACTACAGCCACTAGCCGATGTTTGCAATTCAATACTAAATGAACTGTGTGCTACAAAACGCAATGATCTCGAGACACGGAAATGATTGTGATTTTAATTACAAATGCTCAAATGACTCCAAAAATACATAAACAAGGCCACTACTTCACTTTACTTAACTTAACTTTAATACACGTTTTTATAAAGCAATGAAAAAACCTGCATATTTCTGCTCCCCTTTTATTAGTATCCAGGTAAAATTTATCGAGTATAATATTTTGAATTTTGTGCCCCGGGATAGCTTAATCAGTCGTGTCTAAGTAGCCCCACTTAAACCGTTATTCAAAGATAGTCTGATAGTGATGTCTGATAAGAGTATGAATTACTGAATTGCATTTTAGAGACAATGGTTTAATCGGGAAGAATTATCTCTGATTTCAGTCGAGTCTAGGACTAATCCTGTTACAAAATACTAAATACTCTAAATTCTGTTCAAGTATTATCTGACACAATTCCAAGTAGTTTCCTTGTGAAATGTTCCCTGAATTGTAGCTAAATCTCGATAAATGTCATCTTATATTATAGCAGTGGAGTAAAAAAGGTCATCACAGCTACAGGGCTGCGTCATCGTTATTTAGAGGTTAAGAGGGGTCCGATAGGATTCTAATTACGAAGATTAAAACTCGCAGGTTGCACAGAAATCGCGAAATATCTTGTCCGCATGTCACACGATTCTTTATAGTCTGTAAGCCATGACTCGCGATTAATTAAAATATAAAATTGGCAGTGAATAGTGATGGAAGAAAACAATCAATTTAGCCTGATCATTAACGCAAAATCTGTGAAATTTTTGTGTCATCACAATAATTTTTATATTTGGCTTCAGTGGTGACTGGTGGCAGAAAACCTGCTAATATGAATCATCGTGAAAAGACTTGAAAAGTAGCAGTTCACACGGAGTTTTAAACAACAATTCGTGTTAAACATTTGTGCATGGTACTTAAAGTAGCTGTGAATAAAATGGATTTCCTTGAGCCGTGATTCTATGAAGCAGAGCTGAGAAATATTTAAAACCAGCAGTTCCGAAACGGCCGGACCCAGAACGCTGCGTTCATGCTAAAACATCTCGAGTTGATTACTCTAGTGGCAGTTTTAAAGTCTGGAATTTACGAACACCCGAGCTGGATGGCCAGGACATTAGTCGTGGTACATTTATATCGACACACACTTAACCTTCTCCCAGCTACCGGAATTTCTAACCTCCCGAAACTCCTGTAACTCGTGCTGCAGTGAGGCTACAGCTTCTAATCATTGGCACTGGTATGCTACTTGATTGCAACGCTGGAAATCCCGTATAGAAACATACCAGAATCAATATGATCAATCCCAGGAGTGCTATATATAGACGCAGAAATTATTAAGCAGTCAAGTGTCTAGTGTCTACGCTATAATATCGACATTATAATGCTGCAGTTGTCATTGCAATTCGTCCGGGTATGGTAAAATCATTTTAACAGATCCTGATAACCGAAGATGCGTCACTGATATCATCAGCAAACCATCACATACGCTATATTTCAATATCAGGTGTCCTTAGTCTTACTACGTGTCATACTTGTATCCTTGAGATTAGGTTTAAAATAATGCTTATTCAATAGAATAAGGCAACATAAATCACCACAGCGCGAGCGGTTACAGCGATGTTGAACATCTGACTCTACCACAGTGGAGGTGGTGGATCATGAGATTTGCATATTTGGTGCGTCACTGCTGGAACCTGCACTGATTGGTCAATCACTAAAATGTGTAAAATAAATTTGCCCAGGTATTGGATAGTACTTCATTCCACCTTCAGCTTACAAATTCTGGGAAATTTCTGTCCTCAAACATTCAGGTATTTTCCGAATATTTTGGGGACTAGAACACCGGCCCTACACAGCAATGTGGAGTATTTCGCCAAAAGAGAAGGCATGCGACACATCAGGCCCTACAAAACTTTTACAGATACCTTCCGACATCTATACATCAATATATCCAGCTATTGATCTCCATCAAAAGGGCCAATTGATATCGAATTGATCATTCAATATAAAGGGTGGTGACGAAGAGTTAGTACTTAATATGCTTAAATAGATGAGGACGATGAAAGTTGCACGTGCACACAGTTCAATACTCCAAATCACGTGACACTAGCTGCCAAAGCCACGTGACAGTGACCCAGGAACAGGAAGTGTGTATCTAAGCCGCGAGAGAAGATCAAAGAGTTGGATACACGTGAGGCGTGGAAGAATGGGGCCACGACGACTACTTTTAACTGCCCCAGAATGAAATGCACTTAAAGTGGGGGTCAACGGAAACGTCAAACCATGTTTCAGGTTTCAGTAAACTTCTGTATCGTCCTGTTTCAGCGTTGTAGCAACTTATCCGGGCCGAGCGAGACGACGCGAGGAGATGAGGTTGATAAATTTGTCACTCGATAACTTGTCGTAATCTGTTCCCATTATCAGTAATTTGTCCATATTACATAATTACAACTACTCAGTACTCCCTTTTCACACCACACCCTATTTTTCATCCAACTCTTAGAACTCCTATCTCCACCATACCATAGTTCAGTTTAAGTGGACCAATTAAAAATGAAGACCCTTAAAATATTAAGTCGATAAAAATCTAGCCCTAGATTTTAGATATTTAATGTGTTTAATAGCACGGACCATCTGATGCAAATTATTTCCAAATTACGGGCGATTATCTTAAGTGTTTGGATATTAACTTCAGGAAGGATAAATATTGGAAAGTAAATGTTTTATGCAAAGTGTCAGGTAGGCAAATAATGTGATCTTTATTTGTAGGTCTATCACATTCTTTATATCACTTTCTTTATATAGCACAATCAAGACACCAATATTGGTTAACGTATAAAAAGCAAAATCTTCTACCAATAGTTTGAAAAACTCGACCTCAACCCAACAGAGATAAAATCGATTCTTGATCAGTTAAGAATATCTAAATATTGATTTAAGTGTTTATAGATCAGTCGAGTTATTCAAACTTTGTTTAACAATAACACATTGCAACAAACGAGACGTGTAGGTCCACACAATAGTATACAGCGACACCGCGGTGAACTTACGTCACAAAAATTAATAAGTTATGAAACGAGATCTTTACAAATCCCTGTTTACCATAATATTTGTATATAAGTATTCTTTAACATCCTTTATATTTATAACGTGTACAGTTAAAAATAAAAATTCTTTCTCTTGCGACCCAAAAATCATGTTTCCTAAATTACTGTTTAATTCCGACATTATCCCTGAAAACCATTAACTTCAACAATTAAATTAAATATTGAAGGAGGAATTAAGATCGAATCTTAAACATAAACAAGGCCATCTCCAATATATACGAAAGATACATCATCAAGCAGGGGTGTACACACAACACCCCTTTACAAGTCAAACTCTCAAACAATCTATCTGGCCGAAAACATCTTCTAAATCTAAGCTTTTTGGCTCTAGAACAATCAAGAAATAACGTAAAAATAAAAATGCAAAAATGTAATGTAGCAAAGTTTATATATGAATAACCTAAGTAAAAATCATCAGACCCAAGTAGGCCAGCATGTCGAATAGCTGATTTCAAAATAAGATGGAACGTTTTGTACCGACTTCAGCTCTTTAAATCATCAAAAGTACTATAAATCTT